TTAGTATCTACATGAAACTGCTGGGAGAAATCATTCAGAAATTTGAAGTGGAAAATTTCTACTTTTCTGATTGTTTCAGGAAAGACCGTTCAGACTGATTTTGTGTAGAATCAATAGTGCAAGAAATGGTTTTGATTCTGACCTGTGTTAGCCCTATTATCATTAGTTATCTTATGTACATCATTTATAAATCCCATAAAGATTCATAAAATTTTTAATAGTCCAAGCAAGTCCATTAGTTCTCTACTGAGACAGAGAGCTCATGAAAAGTTAACTCATCAATAGGGCATTAACTTTGAATGATTAACCATAACTGGACAATAAAGCACCACTATGTAAAGGTAGTTGTCCCTTAACAATGGTAACTCCTTTGCCAAGCGACACAATTATAAAACACAATGTTACATGACCACACCAACTTACGACAGTTGTTATGGCAGTTCGAGTTGACATCATGGCCATTAAGCTCAACATCATATGATCACCATTTGCAATGTCTTACTTTCTTCTCCCTTGATTTTGCTTGTTGGAAACCAGAACTGAAGGTTGCAAATGGCGATCACATGACCTCCATGCCATGTGGAATTGTGATCATATGACTGGGATGCTGTTGATGGCCACAATTACAATGACCAGTTCTAAGTCTCATATCCATGGTTTAGTATGGAAAAAATTAAACATGGCTATTATGCCTACCCACCCCACTGAGGTCATGGAGAAAAGATGGGGTTGTATGGTGGATGAGTGGGTTTCAGTCCTTTGACTGTGTCAGTATCTCCTCTACTGTTGAAAGATCAAATTTAACATTTCCTATGTGGGACTCCTACAATATGGTCACTAATTTAGTATTTTTCATCATAGTCATAGTGTGATGAATGAATTTATTGAAAATCCCAGCACAATTTTTTCCCAAGTCTTTTAAGAGCTTTCAGTGCCAAGTCTGAGATTGCTTAATTACTTCAAGAGGGAGGTGATAAATTGTAGTAAAACCCAGCAGCATCTCCAGTTGTCTCTAGGTTTCAGTCTTTTTAAAATTATGGTTACATTTTCAGTTTAAAAGCGCCATTCTGTTGAACATGCAGGAGGTTCAATGCTTTAAAAAGCATTAAAACGAGTAGCAAATCCTAGATTTGTTTTTAATGAAGATTTTAAGCTATTGTATTTTTGTAAACACGATATAAGCCAATTTTCCCAATTACAAAAAAATCAAGAAAAACGCAACTTTTATTTTTTAATATAAAATGTGCATGTCTAGATCTGTTAGCTCAATCAAAGTAAAAAGGTTTTATGAGAAAACAATATATGTAAAAGTGAAGATTTCTGCAAATTGTCATATGCTTACAAGAATTTTAATAGTAATTGCTTGAGTTCATTTTTAGACACTTGTCCCAATGTACGGAATACTTTGATCTTAGATGCCAATTACTGGACGATCTTACATGTAAGTAGTAGAAACTAAAACTGCTTTAAATTGCAAAATAAAATGTTCTTTATTCCAAAAGATAGGATTCTAAGTATATCACAACCAAAAACATTTATTCCAAAACAGAAACTGAAATAATGTTATTCTTACAATTTTTGTTTTTGAACTTTGTCCTAAATCTGTCATTTAATTCAAAATCCACAGCTTAGATTTATCCTGAACAAACAGAAGAATAGCAGTATTTGCTAATCTCACTTTTAAGGCTAAGGAAACAAACTTTTCTATCTTGTTGACAGAAATAACATCTTTATAGAGCTTTAACAAGTAGGCAGAATAATTCTGAGATTCTTTAAACTAACTGTACATAAGCTATATAAAACTATATATAGTTATATAAACTACATGAGTAAATGGAAACATACCTTTTCAGTAACTATTTCAGAAATGATTTTTAAAATGTGAAATTATTGTAATAATGTAAATTGTCGTATTTGATTTTGGTAACAGAACCACGTTTGAAGATATATTTGCAGCTTGTACTATCTAAAGATCTCAAGCTTGTCATTTTTAAGGAGAAGGAACTAGGTTAATTTTTAAATTAAATGCTTGCTTTATGTCACATGTCTTAAATTAGCATTAGTGTTGATTTTGATTATGTTTCTCTTTGGACTATTTGAATATAGTGGTATACTTAATATTTTCCTTCTGCCTTGCCTTCGTTTGGTTGTTATCACATAGCTTCAGAAATGGAACAACTAAAGATAAGTCCAGCTGTCATGTTGGAGGATGAAATCACTTGGTTGGATAATTTTGAACCTACTCGTGCAGCTGAGTGTGAAACCAGTGAAGCTGACAATGTGTTATTGGCAGGACATTTAAGACTTATTAAGACTCTTCTCTCACTTTGTGGGGCAGAAAAGGAAATGCTAGGTAACTATTACTTTCCACAGCTCATGTTTTAATCGCATTATAATTTGCAATTATTTACTCTTTTGCAAAGTTGAATATAAATACAACTTTGGTTAAAAATTATGACATTCTGCTACTATCAGAACTATCTTTGTCTTTTGGAAAATACTGTAATAATAATAATAACAACAACAACAACAAAACAACTGGAGCATCATTTCAACACCATTGGCATTGACAAATTCGCTATTAGTCAGTTGCAAAAGGCGGCCTTGGTAGGAACTGCTTCCATCCTGCGACGATACCTGTAATACCATCAAACATCCACATCGCCTATCCCAGGTCCTGGGTAAGGACTCGATAGGTAGACAAAATGCCAAATCCAGTCTGAACATCTGGCTGACTGTGTGATGATCCATAATAATAATAATAAAAAAAGTTGGAAGGGATCTTGGAGGTCATCTAGTTCAACCCCCTGCTCACACAGGAAACCCTATATCATTTCGGACAAATGGCTGTCCAGTCTCTTCTTAAAAACTTTCAGTGTTGGAGCATTCACCGCTTCTGGAGGCAGGTTGTTCCACTGGTTAATTGTTCTAACTGTCAGGAAGTTTCTCCTTAGTTCTACGTTGCTTCTCTCCTTGATTATGTGGAAGCTTGCAGGTAAATCTTTATTTACCAAACCAGAGAGTGCTGCTGTATGGGAATTTTACTTTTTCAGCACGGTGTGTAAAATGCTAATGATCAACACAGCGCTCTAAATCAAATATAAACAAGAAATTTATTTCTGTTCAGTTATTTCTGTGTTTATATCTGTGTTTTTGTCTGTGTGTATGTATGTATATCAGTGGTTCTCAACCTGTGGGTCGGGACCCCATTTGGGGTCGAACAACCATTTCACGAGGATCGCCAAACGCAGTCTGCCATTTTTCCCCCCTTTTCCTTAGCTGTGCTACTCCCTTTTATTTCTATTGGCTTTTGAAAGCCAATAGAATAGACTCTCTTGAATAGAGTCTAATTCTATTGGCTTTCAAAAGCCAATAGGAATTGTCCAGGCTGTCTCTGCCCTGCTGAGCCCGCCAAAAATCCCATTCTGCAAACAGTGCTGCACCAGTTGAGTCGTCCTCAACTTACGACCGGTTGAGTAGTCCTCGACTTACGACCGGTTGGGGGTCGCGGCATTAAAAAGGTTGAGAACCACTGATGTATATATACATATACGTATACGAGAAATACATCTTCTCTGATCACCTATGTATCTAGCAACATACCATTCTGTTCTGTAAATGCTTTCTGCAAGCATGTTAATTCTTAACTGTAATAATAGTTTTGGTTTTTTACATAGGTTCGTCTTTGATCAAACCATTATTAGATGACTTCCTCTTCCGAGCATCCAGGATTATCCTGAACAGTCATTCTCCAGTTGGCAGCATTGCTGTTACTCAGCAAGATTTTCACCCAAAGTAAAGCATATATTAGTGTATTGGTGATAGTAAAGAATAGTGTACAGGGGGTAGGGGGTATTATGTTACTTGATTGATCAGATCTGTCCAAGTGTAAATCAAAATGGGGCTTTTTCATTTATAAATATCTGTATTTCCTATCATTCACTTAAGTAACTAAAATAAATATTTATATGTTACTTATATGTAAGGGTGTAGGTCTATACGCATGCTGTATATAGTATGTTTTAATTGTGTACACTTTGAGAAGAAGCAACTAAATTTTATCTTTAAGGTGTGCCATTGTGCCCACAGGAAAAAATGACAATAAACGTTATCTAATCTAATACATGTAGGATGCTAAGAAAAAGACACAGGCATGTCTTGAGCAGAGGTTTGAAGCTGCAGGATACAGCTTAACAAACTCTGAGTTTATTCCTTCTTATATACTTTTTACATACATAGGCTTTGCCATTAACTGCTGACATTTTACATTTAGAAGTTTAACCTTTAGCTGTTGACATAAAGTAATTGAAAAATTCCTTCATATAAGCAATTATTTTCTAGTAACATATTACATGGTCAGAGATCAGGTAAAGACAAATACAGGTAGATGAAAGACAGGAAGAGATAAAGATGGGAAGAGATAAGGGAAGGAACTAAGCATATTATCTGTTTAGGTAGGTAAGATATTAAATCAGGAGGGGGTGATCTTTTGACTGCTTCCTTGGGACAAAGGGTATCAAAAGGTTATGAGGTTTGTGGGGGGGAAAGCATGGCAGTTTGCTGCGCGTGCAAATTCCCCCACATCTCACTTTTCTCTATTTTATTAATGAGGACATTATTCTAAGCTGGAGTAGTTAGTGGGTCTTAGTCAGGGGACATATAACTTTGCACTTGTTTATACAAAGCATAACTTGTTCCTGAGATAAGTTAATGGTAGTTTAGTGTGAAAAATTGAAAGTAGAGGAAAAAAAGACATTGAATAACCATATATGTGCATAATTAAAAGATATCTCTTGAAAGGAGGTACAATTTAAAATTCTTTGACTGACGTGTATACAATGAGGTTTTTTAGATGAAGTAGTACAATTGACAATTTTTGCATAAGTAAGATTTGTAGTAACAGCTACAATTGGTGTATGTAAAACAATAGCATCAAGGGTTAACATGTAAGAGGCATGACCCTAGCTTGACATAGTTGCATAATGAAATTCATTGTCTGATAAAAAATTGCTTAAACCAGCATAATTTTTTTTTTAAATTGAAGCTGGAACACACAAAGGTATAAGACAGGTAGAGAGTAGATTTTCCATATCATATGATTCAGAAATACAAAGGTCTTGTCACTTTTGTGATATTAGCTAATTGCACCCAAATATTATATTTCATCTGTGATTCTAAAGGATGAGGTGGAAGAGCTTGAGCCCCCACACAGCAATTAAGAAGGAAAGAGAGGCAAAGAATGACTAAGGAATTTGCAGTCAAAACCACAAATATGGCAGTGCATAAATTATCTGGTGTAAGTTCTTTTCCCTGTTGCCACAGAACCATCTGTGCTTTGGAGATTAGGTTTTTTCACATCGCCCCAGGTTGTTGGTCAACTGCAATGGCAAGAGCGAAAGGGATGTTGTGATGTCTGAAGAGTCACCTGCTTCATTTTCAGTATTGGGTTCTGGACTTGATGCCATGACATCTTTGGCTGGTTGCACACACTGGGCTGGAATCCAGAGAGGGCCTGTAGGAGCAAGCACAGAGCATAGCCTCGCCCCCAAGTTAGTAAGGGAATTGGATCTAACCAGGTTTTATCAGACAATTGCCGATAACATACCAATGAATTAGGAAGCACAGCTTTCTGCTGAAAGTGACGCTGGTAGGCAGTAGTTTTTTGAAAAGAAATATTTAGCTGATTTAAAGTTATTAGGACTTTATCAACTTTATTATTTATCCATGCCAAATTAGGTACCCTTGATCCCTCCTTTTTTATTTGTTTATGAAGGCAGTCCTTAAAGGACCGATACATATGTGAGAAACAAAGGATAGCTGCTGTAAAGTTAAAAACAAAGCCATAAGATTGGGGTCGATCCTGGGCATGATGTAAGCACCTGTAAGATTAAAAATAAGTTGGCACACATAATGAGAATAAGAGATTAAGTTAAAAGTCTGTTGAGAAAAGGTGTGGAAAGCTAAAATAGCAGCAGAAGAGATAAGTTATTCTGAAAATAAAATTGAAAATCAAATTTTGGGATAGGAATAACAATATTAATTAAATCAGTCCCATTTCAAGGACAAGCTTGATTGTGTCCTGAGGTTATTTCAGCAACAGCCTGGATAAAAGATAAAACATTTTGGGATGGGATAAGTAAAGCCATTCAATACAATATACTTTTTGCGCTTCTAACACAGCTAATATTCCTGTAAGTATCTTACTAGTAAGAAATATCAAAAGTGTTAAGTGACAATTCCTATGTGGAATTCTGTCCACAAATTGAGTACTCAAGTACTTAATTTGCTCAACTGTGGTAAATGCTGCAAGTGGAACTACAAATGAGATCTCCAGGTTGTTTTCCTTTGGTCAATAAGTTAAATTCCAAGTTAATCAAAGATGGAAACAAATTTCTATTAAGTAGGTTAAATATTTACAAAACTTAAGTTTTGCTAGCTGAAACTGCAAGAGCGGGATTAAATTTCATCTCCATTCCATACTGGAATTCTAAGCAGAGAAGGAAAAAAAGTTTAAAACGAACAGTTTTCCCCCCCTCTTCTTTCTGTCTCTCTTGCTCTTAAAGCAACACAGCCAGTTGAAAAACAAAAGAGACAGGAAAAGTTTTTTGTTACAAACTTTTCACCACTAAAAATTAGTTTTCTCTCCTTGACATGCATTTTCCATAAATTCTCTCACACATTCTCCATGCAAACACTTACTATTACTTTTCAATTACAACAATAAAATCTGCAGTTTTTTATTTCTTTTACAGCCTGGGAGAGAGTGGGTGGGGGTGGGGTTTGAGGGCTAACACACACACTCAGGTATCAACAAATTAATTAATTCATTTTCATTCTAACCGCTTGTATAAACAATTCCACATACAAATATTTCATTTTATACTTTCTCCAGGCAAACTATTTATTTTTAAATAAGGCCTTTTTGTATTGTTGTTATCAGAGAGGGTTTGACCCTCTTCAAAGTCTTGGAAATAACACAGAACAACACAGACAAACATATATATACAAATACCAATAAAACAACATTGATTTAGACATATGGCTTGTCCTGCAAAAAGCGAGAAAAATCATGAGATGATTCCAACCAAACATGTGTTTTTTGTTTTTTGTTTTTTTAAAAAATCGGGCCCTTTTAATCATCTCCTATTTTTCTCACCATTCCAAGCCCAAGCATAATGTTCTGGGTGGCCACACATACATATACACATATACACACATATACATAAACAAAAGACACATCAATTTGGGGTTTGAGGCTAAAACAGGCCTCCCCTTTTAATTAAAAAGGAGGAGAACATTTTTGGTTACTTCCAACTTATCCCAGCAATTTCAAAAGACATTGGGGAAAGACTAAGAGGAATATTGAAGGTGTGAAGGGTGAGGGAAATGTAGCAGCCTCCTCTCCTTACCTCTTGACAAAAGGGAATTGAATAGAGCCAGATTAAAAGGGGGAAAAAGAAAAAAAAAACTTGCTTTCAGTTCTTTGAATTTTCTTTTCTTTTTCTTCCGTGGCTTTAGTTGTTATCAGATAAACTAGCCAGCCGGAGGTTTACAAAATTTTTCAGTGTTGTCTTGTTAAAGATTATTTATACTTCTACACATCAACACAAAGCACCATCAGACATTGTCTGACAGGGTTAAACTTAACAGCTACTTGAAGTTTCAAAACATCCCAATTGTTCAAAACACATTGCAGAGGAGTACATTTTAATTTAATTTGTTTCTTTAAATTCCTCTGACTATTCCCCATATATATTTTTTTCTACTTCAAGATTTTTCCTCTAATATTTTCCTTATGGGGGTGTATGGTGGCTGTAAGGAGGCAAAAGAATTAGCCTCTTCAGAAGGAGCTGAAAATCCAATTAAAGATGCTTTCGGAGGCACAGTTTTTACTTTGATCCTAATCAGGTGTGGGGCTTGTAGTTAATTGTTACCCTGCTGAAGCATCTGAGCCAAATTTTTCCACTGCTTGATGGCATTGATGCCATTGATGTAATACCTGTACTGGAGCCCAAGATTCAAGATGTAAAGTATGCCCTATTTTTTTCCCAATCTTGTAACCTAAGCGTCCAGCACTTAGGATATCAAGGGGAATGTTTCCCTACCTCACCCATCAGCTTCCTTTTGTCTGCATCAGGTGTTTTCATGCCTGATGTGTGTAACAGGAATCTGAGTTCCTTTGCTGGTGCTGAGATAGATTGCAACCCTTACTTACCACTGAGGGGTCCTGTAGGACGAAAGTGCACTTAGGGGTCTATTCCAGACGCTGGTAAGTAAGTTGGCTGTTGCTCCCTCGGAAGGGGGGGCTGTCCCAGTTGCTCCATGGGAGGGCTGCCCCACGTTGGGCGCCAGATGTAGGATGCTAAGAAAAAGACACAGGCATGTCTTGAGCAGAGGTTTGAAGCTGCAGGATACAGCTTGACAAACTCTGAGTTTATTCCTTCTTATATACTTTTTACATACATAGGCTTTGCCATTAACTGCTGACATTTTACATTTAGAAGTTTAACCTTTAGCTGTTGACATAAAGTAATTGAAAAATTCCTTCATATAAGCAATTATTTTCTAGTAACATTACATGGTCAGAGATCAGGTAAAGACAAATACAGGTAGATGAAAGACAGGAAGAGATAAAGATGGGAAGAGATAAGGGAAGGAACTAAGCATATTATCTGTTTAGGTAGGTAAGATATTAAATCAGGAGGGGGTGATCTTTTGACTGCTTCCTTGGGACAAAGGGTATCAAAAGGTTATGAGGTTTGTGGGGGGGAAAGCATGGCAGTTTGCTGCGCGTGCAAATTCCCCCACAAATACATATCCCCAAGAAAGTTAGTAAGGAGCTTCATGGTATCATCATTATAAATCAGTCCTGGGTCCTTTATTGATATATACTTACCTTAATATCTTTGCTGAATAAAGTTAAGATGATTGTCAGAAGAGAGGGCTCTTTTAGCTGTGATAGCCTGCTTGTGCCTCTGCTGCACTTTGGGAACCAAGCAAAAGTATTCTACATTTTATGTAAAGGGAATGTGGAATGACTATTGTAATGCATTTAGCGTCCTATTACTCATATAGATTGATGTTAGATTTAATTGTGCTTTTACAATTAAATTGTAAAAAGGTTGCTTCTCTCCTTGATTATTCTTAGAATGTAATCCACCTAAAATACTTAGGATTGAATAAATTAGTAGTATGCTAAATAAGTCGTATTTTCTGGATGTGTAGAGAAATAACCTTTAAAGATTTGTTTTATTCCACATTCTCAATTTTAAGTCACTTCATTTATCCAAATCTATTGCTATTTCTAAATAGTAATTTATATTACTTCAATGATTTGCAATTATCATGTATATTTCTAGATTTCTCACAGTATAAAATACAGCTTCCAGAGCACCCTGGAAACTGTTCACAGGGTACTGTTTTTGACATCTTGATAATTTCCATCAAGTTTAATTTAGACAAATCACTCATGCAGCTTATACTGAAAAAGACCAAGTCATCAATTAATGTTATTAATATTGGTACAGAATTCAATTCCTCCACATTTCTGAGATCAAATGTGCAGAATCAGATGGTAACTGTAGCCCATGACCCAATAAAGGTTGTCCACCTTTAATTACATCCTCCACTAGATATTACTTTATAAAATAGAATCAAAAATAACTATCTCCTTTGTCTGCATGTACAGTATAATAGCTTTAACTCATCCAGGAAATTAAACAGATGATTTTAGAATTGCTTTGCACAGAAAGGCACTAAACCTCAATTGATTCTCTTTGGAAGCAGATCACTATATTTTATAAATATTAACAGCTGAATATTGGCTATGAATAATCAAGTCCTTTGTTTTAGATGCAGTACAGTGAATAGTCGCTTAGCAGCATATGAAGTTCTAGTAATGTTGGCTGATAGTTCACCCTCAAATCTTCAGCTCATTACAAAAGAATTGCTTTCTATGCATCACCAGCTTGATCCAGCTCTTTCCAAGGAATTTGATGTAAGTAAACAGGCTTTTTTTTAGTGCAAATAGTAATACTACTCAGAGGTTTACCCAAAATATATATTGAGTAAAATCAATATGCGTAAGTTCCATATTTAAAGCAAATATTTCAACCAGCAAGTTCTTCATAAATTACATCTATTTTTCTATGTTACAATTTTTTCTTCTTTCCTCTACCCTCAGTATCTCCCACCTGTAGATGGTCGATCCATTTCTGGATTTGTGGGGCTAAAGAACGGTGGAGCTACCTGTTATATGAATGCAGTTTTCCAACAACTGTATATGCAGCCAGGTCTACCTGAGGTAATATTTATTTATAGTCTTTGAAAAATGCTTTTAGCAATCCTGTTAATTATATACATAGAAGTTTCTCAGAAAGGAATGAGAGTTGACATATAAATCTATGATGATGAGAAGCACCAATTTGAAACTGACCCATGTTAACAACTAGTTAACAGACTAGGTCTGCCCTGGGATACTCCAGTGTGAATCAGTGTTGAGGTAAAGAACGAGACTTAGAAAAATTAAATTTGATTCTCCAATTGTTCAGTATGACTACAGTGCAAGCAGTATTATTTTATTTTATTTTGTGTAGAATGAATTTGACAAGGAAGCTGTGCAGAGTTGAAATAAGAATCAGAGAGTTTTTAAGTATGCTCTTTTAAACACTTCATTTTTAAATGCTTGTTGGATTTAGTGGTCTCCTATGGCGGAGAATAAATGCCAAATTGGGAGAAATGTATGCAAAAGTAAGGGGCATTCATAAGGAATGATGATGTCCCTTCCTGAGCTGATTGTCAAGGATTACAGTAGAGGTGTGAGGCATGGATTTAGTTTTTCATTAAAAAAAAAAACCACTAATCCAAGATAGCTGGTTAATGTACCTCTTAACAGATTATGATATAACTGCTCAGGATGAGAAACAGGTGACAATGAGGCAGAGCCATGTTACTTAGAACAAAGGTTCTTTCTGTCACCGAAATGTTAATGTTAATTCTAACTAATGATTTTCTGATAACAATAAGAGCAAAGCTGATGGTTATCAGCAAATCCAAAGGTTTGTACCGGAATATTATTATTAGTCGCTTCAGTGGCACAAATGAATACAAATAAATATTGTTGCACTTTCAATAAACACTATTAAAAATTGTTTCTAAAGGCATTGCTTTCAATTGATGATAACATGGACAATCCTGATGACAATGTATTCTATCAAGTTCAGTCCCTCTTTGGTCATTTAATGGAAAGCAAGCTGCAATATTACATACCAGAAAACTTCTGGAAGGTATTACTTACTGTTTTTTAAGCATGGATCCCTTTTTTTTCTTTTTTTTTTTCATCATGATTTAAAATGATAATTTAGATCACAACATTTTGAAAAAAGGATTCCCATTTAATTTTAGTTAGCCCTACTCATAGTCTCTCAGTGATACAGAATCCTAAAGTTTGCTTGTTTGTTTAAATTTATTAGCCTTCCAGTTGTAATGGACTCAAATAGCATTCGTCTCTTTAGTAATATTCTCAGGAAGAGAATCCAAAGTAGTATTCTCAAGAGAAGGTATATTTTCTTATAAAAAGAGTTGGGTAAGGATAAGAAGGTATCTTTTTCTTCCTGTTTAGATTGGCTTACTTAGTGCATTCTAGTGACATTTATAGATCTTGAAGCATTTAACTGAGTGGATTGCATCTATATTTTATAGATCTTTAAAATGTGGAACAAGGAGCTTTATGTACGTGAACAGCAAGATGCTTATGAATTCTTCACCAGCCTTATAGATCAAATGGATGAATACCTTAAGGTGAATTACATTTTTGGTACATTGGTATAGTAATTCAGTTCATTGTTTCAACTGATGCACAGTTAATCTGCTATTGGCATTTCAATCTCTTACAGAAAATAGGAAGAGACCAGATCTTTAAAAACACCTTTCAGGGCATATATTCTGATCAGAAAATCTGTAAGGATTGTCCTCACAGGTAAATGAAGATCAAGTGTCGTAAGATAAAGTAGATCTCCCTCTTGGCATACTGAAAGTGAAATCTGTAGGTGAAGAAAGAGATCCACTTTTATAAGCCTTTGCATGGCAAACGCAAAAATCACTATTTTTATCACTTTACCATTGGTATCAAATGAAAGTTTTGTATACACCAATCCAAAACTGTTACATTTCTGGACATTCTGGAGTTAAGATAGAGGTGGGGGAGGATATGTATACAGATCCTGGATCTGCATACTTCCTGTCTAGGTATGTTAACATGGAAAAAGGAAAAACTAGAGAAGAAAAGAAAAAGCATGCCATATACAAGTGGTACAATTCAATGGTTTACTATACTTTTAATAAATAATAAAGGTGGTTAAAGACAAAAATCTTACAGCTTTGTTGATATGTAGGGTATATTTGTGAATTCTTAGTTTTTGTTTAAAAATCTTAATATTCTATTCTTTTTCTTAATGTTGCAGGTATGAACGAGAGGAAGCCTTTATGGCTCTCAACTTAGGGGTCACTTCATGTCAAAGTCTAGAAATTTCACTGGATCAGTTTGTTAGAGGAGAGATCCTGGAAGGAAGTAATGCATACTACTGTGAGAAATGTAAAGAAAAGGTAATTCTTCTACTTTTCTAAGAGTTAAAGTACTTTGATTTTTCTATGGGAAGAGATCCCTCTGGATTCATTAGTGCTCTGAGAAATTTTGAGTCTATTCCTAGCTTTATATGCTTCATATGTGCTTGTTTTTTAATTAAATCTTTATTCAACCTTTCTTCAGGGTTAGGATAATATGTATAGAAGTCCCTTATTTTTTTTCCTTACAATTATCTTGAATAATTGTGAATCCTCAAGATTTCCCTCTGATTTTCAACTGAAAAAGAATATGAAACATTGTCATAAGACCATTTACAAGCTATAGCTTGTGTCCTTTCTTTGCAATCCTGTATTTATGTATGTTCTAGTTGTTGGAAATTTGTAGAAATCAACACTTTTATCTTTGTTGCCATGATTACTAAAAATCTTCAATTTTTCACTTCATGTTTATATTTGGGAATTAATTTTGGTTTCCTACCAAATGAAAATAATTGTTTTATTTATACATTTTCAGTAGACATATTAAAGACTTAAAGTGAATTTAAGAACTGTTTCTTTAAAAATGCTGCAAAGGGAAAAAGAAATGCTGCAAGGAAATTAGCACATTGAACATTTTTGTAGTTTGGTACCCTTTAAAAAAAACTAGTAAAAATGTAATACTTTATCCTGCAATATGCAACTTGGAGAATCATGTAATCTCAGAGCCACTTACTGGTTCTCGGAAAGTTCCTGTTTTTCTTGTAAAATACTAATTTTATATTTTCATGTGATATTTTCCTTGCCATGAAACTTATCCTAAATCTGTATGTATAAAAAGCTTGTTGAAATGCT